TGCCCAAAACCAGCCGACAAAAGTCAACCACTTAAGCACGGGTCGTTCCTATTGTTTTATGTTTACCCGCCTACTGCCAGTTGTATCTCTTTAATCGACTGGAGTCCGCATCCCACCTCCGCTGTTAACGACACCAATAATGTACGAATATCGTACACTTTAAATCAGGATGAGTCATTTTAACCAGAAACGGAGACGTTTCGTTCGCAACTCGCTCAGCCATGTACCGATGTGACTCGGTATTCACGTCAAGATCACCTCCTTACGACACGCACGTAGTCGGGGTGATCGTAGACGTATTTGTTGCAATTGCAAAATCCATGTGTGAGAGCTGATTTATAGATAAAAAGAGCTCATTGAATCTGTTAAGATGAGGGGGCCGGTAGTGTAGTGGGGTTAGCACATCTGCGTTAACCCTGCATGACTGGGAAACGCGAGATGCGGGGTTCGATTCCCCGCAGTGCTCGTCCTTCCTGTCAGGGTGAGAGGCAGATGACGCCGTATCACCTCAGCAGCTGAGTGCGTCGTAAAGCCCCAGTGACTCACTCACTCACGAGTCTGTTAAGATAGGAGAGCACTTACATCCGTGTGTCCTGAAGAATGTCAAAGTCTTGCAAATCGCATACAGTTTGGTAATAAAAACGGTCAAGTCTCTTAGCAAACAGAAACGCCTAGGAACATCATCACAGAGAAATGCACAGCTGGTTCCGCTGGACCACGTGAAACCATCAGTGCACACCATAGCACATTTACCAGATGAGATATTTGCTCAATTTCCAGCTGCTTCAGTTCGCTGGCCATCTCCGATGCCATTCTGCGCTATCATAAGGTTACATGAACAGAGGACGTTTCAGAGGCCACGGCGGAACTAACCACTCCCGGAGCTCGACGTTCGAGTCAAAGCGGACATCCACCTGACCCCATAGGTACCCGATGTACCCCTCCTTCCCCCACGGTGGAACCGGCCGCCATCACGTGAAAAATGGACCGAATATGCTATCTATGATGTCTGGATGCGTTGCACATGCTGCTTACGTATGTAACGCTTACTGTCATTTTCAAGTGACTCAACAGCTGTTTGCCCCTCGCAACTCTAGCATACGCAGCATAAGGTGAGGAGGAGATAGGCACGGTGTACACTTTCACACGGTACAAAATACTTGGACAAATGTTATCACTTTCCATAGTACACAGGCAACTGGCATTTTTGTACTTGTTCCCCTAACTCAGTAAGCATCTGCAGCCTAGCCTCGCGGGCGTCTGACTCTAGGCTTCCTACCTATATGCTTACCGACTTGCCCACCTACCAACAAGCATGCGTGCCATGAAATATCCATGCAAAAAACTTGGCGCACCGACTTCCTCTCTGGGATGTCTTTTAAGATTATTTGTTTTCAAATGCATCTTTTTCCTCTGCCAATTGGGCATCGCTGAGCTTTCGAATCCTCATGACTCTGTATTTGGTTCAAGAGGAAGTGCTGGTAAACATTTAGGTGCCCAAACAATAGTGTTCACCGCATATTTGTTTCCATCTTCTGCTTTGCATAATAAGACGGGGTATGCTTTCGTGGAGTGCTTAGATCTTTCTGACATAGTAAAAAGTAGGGTCGCAAATTGTATCGATGATTTGTTTTGTATTGAAGTGATTGCTGTTTTAAAATATTTTCTCCAGCCTAAGATACTCAAGATGCAATTTCTATACTACATCATCGAGGACGCCTAGATTCATGTGGATGTTTTTTGCAGTGGTGTTCTCAATCCACGTTGTCGGATACTGGCAGCGATTTTCGACGACTCTAAATTACTTTGCTTGCCCTGGCTAACTTAATAAACTAGCTGCCTTGGCAAAACACACTAAAAAAATACTTAATGAGCGCAAAGTGACAAATGGTTAAACATATAGGGCTGGGAACAACTGTTTTAGGACGTCTACAATCATAATACGCACACCATGCTGGAAGCAGACTAGAAGAAGATCACCGCTTTTTTTGGCATTTCTGTCATTGAAAATGCTTTCAAGACATGAACAGCAAAAATTGCTCCAATTTTTTTTACCTGAAGGCTTAAAAAAATGTTATCGGTATAATCAAAATAACTGACAGGATAAAAAAAGTCAGGGTCATAGAGATATTCAGTATGAAACCGGCGACTGTGGCTGCGATTGTACCGACCTGCTACGATAATTATCAGACTCGTGTTTTCTAGATCCGCTTCCGTCATCTGAGTATCATCTAAACGTGTCACTATTGCTACCTGGATGCACCTTTCAGTGCAGTAGAACGCCTTAGCCTTCCTTGTACCAGTCATCAACGGTGACAGGGTGTCGAAAATTGTGAACATGTGTTCAATCAAGATGGGATAGAGGAACGCTAGGGAACCAATCGCGAAGGGCCTTAACACCTGTACATTCGGATGACGGAAGGAGCAGTCTTGAATTCCCCTCGAAATAGGGTTAAGGAAGGATGTTCTCATGCGCTAAACCCGTGGTAAAGGAGGTGATCCTCTCCATGGTAAAGGGGAGTGTCCCATGTCTCTCTGTTTCTCTTCATGGTAAAAGGAGTGTTCCACATTTGTTCGAGGTGTTGAACTAGAATGGGTATCTTGAAGACCATTCGGTGCAGTTCACATTCCTGCCTTTCTTAAGACTTAAACCCCTCTATTTTCTGAGGCACACGCCCACGAAAATGGGACGGTATGCCTGGGAGAATATTTCAATGCCACCTTGGTATTCATAGACATCATAATAGTGTCATTCAAATCCTGCCATTACATAAACCATGCAGCGATTAAGGTCGAGCATAAATAGAATTGTCAGAGTCGCTCAAAATCTGGGCGCTCGTGAGCACGATTTCAAGACATAACGGGCCGTCAATTGCCTCTCAATCGAGGTTTTGGAAGATGTGATTGCGTAATCAAACAATGACGTACCGAATAGCATATGTACTAACGGAGAAATTGTGTTTATCTAAAGCAGTCTTTTCTTCTAAAAAATATAACAATAATTTAAGTGAGCTTGTTTTATCACATCTGATGATTGCCTCAATATCCCCCCATGTGAAACATTCTCTCTAAGCGTTCCGCGAGAAGTAGTGGTCATTATGTACGTGGCTCGAGCTCCTCAGTTCACATCATTCACAAGTAAACAATCGATCAAATCGGCAGATATTGGAGGACTGGGGTGGTTCTGCAGCGCGCTACTGAGCACAATACTAGCCGATCCGAGCGTGCTAGGCGGGCTCATGAGCCGCACGCCATGGCCGTCCGCCTTATGCGGCCGTCAGCTTTTGGGGGATATCGTGGGTTTCTGTCAGATCCAAATGTCCGATGTAAGCATAAACTGCACTAGGCACAAGGGACTATAGCACACGGACGGTTACTTCAGCCAAACTTAAATGCGCACGGAAAATATGGGCTCCATGTCGTTATTACCGTAACCATCGAAAATCGTTGAAGTTACACAACAACCAAAACTGCATAAAGCACTCCAACGCAAAACCCACTAGCTTGGCACAGTTAATGTATCGTCCAGTACGTGACGTCCAGTCCGGTGACAAGGACTGGCGCGGCCTGATGACCATTCTTTTCAACCTTGTTGGACTGTCCCTCGATCATATTTTGTCGAATGATTGCTTCTCTCAGTGCCTTTGCTGCCGTTTTCAACACTGATAGCACTGCCTGGCTCTATGAGCGATGGAACGCTCCGACGGCATGCGTGACGATTATGAACGCTTGGTGCTGCGGGCCAGCTCGTAAATCGATGTCGGATGTCCGAGTAGCTGGGGCGCTTTGCATCGATCATGTCGATGCAAAGCATCGATGCATCGATGTCACAGCTGTGGATGGAAGGCCGCCATTCATGTCGGTATACGCTTACATGGCCGGCGTGGTGCCAGTGGCAAAACATTCAGTCATCAGACGACCACAGCAAACGCGTCTTGAAAGCGCCGCTATGATTTGTCGTGCGACGTTCTTGGAATATGGCGGGTATGATGTACCGGTGGTCAGCCAAGCTCGTGCGGTACCATCAAACAACTGCTTTCAGTTGTGTGCCATCTGCCAGAGTATATTCCCTGCAGTTTGAGTTTGAATTAAAGAACGGGAATAAAGAGTAAATAATAAAGAATAAAGAAAAATGGAAGACGACAATAGAACGATGCAGTCCAAAACGACACAGTTCAAAACGATAGTACTCCGCCATTAATTCACCGGCCAAAGTCTCGCTAGGAAGTTTCATAAGGTCACCTCTTAGTGATTCATAAAACAAAACTTGACAATCAGAAGCTAGATCTGGGGCATGACTAATTCGACCCCATGTTGGTGTGTTTTTGGCGATGTATGGCACTAGGGCAAAATAGCCGCATGCGACTGAAAGCTGCTGCCACATCAAACAGTACTTGTTAATGAAGCACTTATTCACATTGCAAGATCGTCACAGGATTATGGCTGAACCCTCGGGCTGAATGTCTGTCACAACGTTGATAATTCAGTGTGATTTGCGGTTGTTTCTGCAGCTAATGTCCCGCCAATTTGTAATTTTCCGGTCCAGCAGCTTGTGCCATGTAATAAGCGTGACCTGTTGCGTCAACTCTCCAACCAGCCCACACCAAGCGAGGCTCAGGCGAGCCCACCAGGAAAGCCCGCCATTTGGCTGAGGTGCAGCGCCGTCGGCCTCTGTGTGCAGGTGACGGCCGGCTGCAGACGCTGAACGGAGCCGTCTTCACGTCCACCTGCGAGCCGGCCGTCTGGTTCGCTCTCCCGTCGGAGAGCACGTGTTCGGCCAGCACGGCCGAGGTATGGTGCCGGGTCAGACAGGCCCGGACCAACCCGCCGCTTAGGGGTGGTCCCGGACCGTCCCGTTTCTCAGGGGTGGCCCGGATCGGCCGGCTGCTCATAGGTGGGCCCGGACCGTCCCGCCGCTCAGGGGTGGCCCCAGACGGGCCCGCCGCTCAGGGGTGGCCCCAGTCCACAGAATGCTGCACGGTCCAGGCTCGGCCCCAGTCCACGGACGCACGACTGAGATTCGACCCCAGTCAGTGATGCAGGCAAAGCTCTATCCCACCGATCGCAGTAGGGTAGCACAATCTGTGCTTCGAGGCCACATGCTATGCTATGAGGCACGTGTTACTTGTCACGTAGCACGTGGCAGGTGGACAGCCAGCCGACTGTCTGTCACGGCCATTTAACGGAACTGGAATGTTAAGGTTGTATAGCTCCTCCCGTTTTATATTTAAGTGTACTGTTTTGTTCGATGCTCGACGTTCGATGTTTGTTCGGCCCTTGGTGGTACGCACGACCCCCAAATGACGCTTGGTCGTATTCGGGTTTGCATTCTTGTTTGCGTATTTTGCGCCCGTTTATGTGTCTGTAGCTTTTCGGAACAGAGTGTTACAAATGATAACACCGGCGGTGATAAACACGTAAGACACGCGTCGTTGTAAAACTAATCTTTTCGAATTTAGGTTAAGCAAACACGGAACCTCCCCGAACGCCTTACGTCCCGAGCTGGTGGACCACTGTCCCAAACTGACGCAAACCCCTGTGCTTCGCTTGCCGTGGCATGCAACGCTGGGTTGTGTCTTGAACCAGAGGTGTGACGGCACATGCAAGCTACTGTGGCCTGAAACCATTTTTTACGCCGGGAGGATCTACCTCGATGATGTTTGATACTGCCAAAACACAAGAAGTCCCAATAGCCAAAAACATTTTTTTCGTCCATTTTTGGTCACACCTCATATTTAGAGCTGAGATTGTTTGCCGGCCGGGGCCGGCCATCATGGAGAGGCCCACATTTAAGGAGATCGCGAGGGTACATGCCCCTCCCTTGTGATGTTTTTATATAGGTTTCACATGGGTTCGAGACACACGACCTCTTGGGGAAGCTGGAGCTGTACCCCCTCTCTGTGCCCTGCACCCCTCAATGATGTACCGCAAACACACTCACATACATTCTCCGTTCTCGAAGCCGCCCCGCCGCAGGCCTTTATTTGCGGTCAGGTAACTGTCCTTTATTCGCCAGCGTTCGTCACCAACCACACACACCTCCACATCGGCCCCCGCACGCTTGATCGGGTATGTGTCGCATGCCTGACTGCCTGATTGTGCTGGGGCAATGTGTCGCACGCCCGCACGCCCAGCAGGATCGATTGTCGCTAACAGGCATCGGCCTCACAGGGACCGTTCCTGACGCTCGTTTTGGACGGCACAAACCATCGAGGGGGCGCCTATCCTTGGCCGACGCTGAGCACCGAACTGAAGGCCGCCACACTCCGGCTACGTGGTGGTGACGCTGTTGGTAAGTTCCCCATGGAGGGATGCGAACGGCGAGACGTTTGGCCGTCGGGATTTTCCTTTTGGCCTTTGTGCCAGCCCATGGTCTGATGGTCATAAGCAGCGCTCGATAAGCTGTGCCGTCCCTCATTCATGCGTTGCGGCGTAGCCTACCATGCCAGGTTATCGGAAGCAGGATGTGTGGGAACTTATGTATGTGGAGCAAAGACCGCCAATTTTCCTGCGAGCTCAAATCGGATTTGCATGCGGCAATGCAGTTCACGATAAGAAAATGTTGAGATTGTTGTTGTGGTAACACTGTTGAAAAGTTCAAAGCCTGGTGGAAAATGCTGGTTGTGCTCATTTCGATGAGATTTCGTATGGTTGATTACGCGCTCGCCTAGCCGCGATTTTCGAGTCGTCCACATCAGATGACTGAATGGGGCTGAACAGACCGTTGGGCGGTCTGAGCCACCCGAGGCAATGGGATCTTAAAGAACACGTGCTGCATGATTGGGATGATCGTACCACATCGCCAGCATCTGAAAAGGTATCTAAATTCCCGCATTACAGCAGGGCGTTATTTAAAGATAACAATTTTTGCGATGAATTAAGGCACTGCAAAGTTTGTGCAATTTCAAAATGTTTCTATGAAGTCGAGGTATATCCTAAACACTCTGACAAGAAAATGATTGCTTTCATGCAAGTCAGCTAAAGTGCAATAGGTAAACCACACGTATCCAACTAAGAATAAGGCTGTTATTTTAGAAGAGGCCACTTTTAGACATTTCTGCAGCCAATGCCTTTAATTCGCCCAATTTCCAGGAAAATGTGGCAATGTATAATATGGTACGGCAATCAGCAATGTGTATCAGTCCAACTCGTTGGGTACCAGCTGCCTCATATTGTTTACATTGGTGCTGTGTGGAGCAGGGCGGGCTTTGAGGATCCTTTCATTCGAGGATCATTCAGCTTGAATCATGCTAAGGCAGGCAAGCCCTGCAGGCTCTGTAAAAACTGTGTCAAGCTCTGGAAGTACCGCATACCTATGAACAGGGACGCTACCAGAATATGGGAGTTTGCCTTGTCGCGTCTGCGTCAAATGCCACCGAATGCTTTTGGTAAGTTTTGAAAGGCTTCGCAGAACGACATCTGGCCTCGTACCTGTCCATAAAAGGATGATCTCAATTCTTACCAGCTAACCGCGATTTTATCAAATTATGCGCCTTTACAAATGTTTAAACGGAGCATGTCTAGCCGAAAATTGCTGCCAAAGGCGTAGGATAGAAAATAAACGCTTAAGTTTTAAGAGCTTTGAAAACAGTTTTGCACAGCGATCCTTCGTAAAAAAAATGTGATGATAAAAGAGGAAGTGGGATCTGCAGGCAAGTTGGAGTTTGAGTTTTCTACCTAAAAACGTTTTGATGCGGTTGTGTAGCCGAAATATCAATGCATCTATCAATGTATCCCGGTTATTCGAAGAGGAATAAGACTAAAAGTACTATTGTATGTAAGTGCGGAATGTTCCTCGCAATTGCGCTTAACAGCTTACGCAATATGCGACAACGATAAAGCGTGTAGGATTTCAAAGCAGCGGCTTTCAAGAGCATAGCCCCAATCAGCGCGCTACTCAAACGACTCTAAGCATCCACATCACGTGATCTTACGTTGATACATCGTTTGGCATTAACAGAGCATATTCCAAGCGCTTGCGAATCACATGCGCCACATTTTCGGGCTGCTTAATGTGACGAAGCCAAACGGCATGTGTGGAGTTGTATGCTGAGAGGCAGGCGACGCCATATGGCCTTAGCAGCTGAGTGCGTCGTAAGCCCGCAAGTACTCGTCCGATGCACTTACGACTGGAACTAGTTCGACGAACTTACGATTGACACTGGGGACGTTGCTGATGTGCTCATGCTCGTAACTAACATTGTAAGTTTGTATCACTCGTCGTTTGCTTTTGCCAGATGAATGCTCGGAAAGGAGTTTGTTTGCCTTCCCGGGAGAGGTACTGGAGCATGTGGAGATGAACATGACCAGCTTCAGTGTGGGGTCTTCTTTCACCATCAGCTGCAAGAACCGAGCACTGGTAAGCTAAATACATCTACTTTTCATCATCCCACATGACAGTGTTTTTACACCGCTGGTTGATGGAAACAGCATGCGCCATTGGCTTTGGGCAACGTGACAACTTGCTTTTGATTTCTCTGAGTGGGAGTCATCTTTCAGTAACTTGGAGATGTGTTCCTTCGACCCGTTTTATTTAGTAAAAGACAGATATGCACATCCATGGACGAACATCATTTCTTTATCATTTGCGCTACAGTCATAGCAATCGCATTGTGCTGTGACTATTAAGGTTCGCATTGCCTGATAGGTCTTAACGTCTTGAAATCATGGGTTGAGGTGCAATGGTCGCCTCGGCAAACTTCCGAACTACTGGTTTTTGGACCGAGGAAGTTCTCTATCTGAATCTGAATGTGTGGGAAGCCTCGCCGGCAGGACCCTGGGAACCCCTTCGTTCAGAAAAAAGCATTTCTGGGATTACAGCATTGTGCTGCGCGGATGTGTTCGACGACTGCACCGTCTAACGTGCCCAGCCTCAGGCAGGCCGATCGATTATTTGCTCCTGCCGCCCTACTTACCTGTGGATGTATCATGCAGATGTGTGTGTGTGTGCTCACTATCCATACGCTGTATCTGTGGATGTATCATGTAGATGTGTGTGCGCTCACCATCCATACGCTGTATCTGTGGGTGTATCATGCAGATGCGTGTGTGCTCACCATCCATACGCTGTATCTGTGGATGTATCATGCAGATTTGCGTGCGCTCACCATCCATACGCTGTATCTGTGGATGTATCATGCAGATGTGTGCGCTCACTATCCACACGCTGTATCTGGGGATGTATTATGCAGATGTGTGTGCACTCACTATCCACACGCTGTATCTGTGGATGTATCATGCAGATGTGTGTGCGCTCACTATCCTCACGCTGTATCTGTGGATGCATCATGCAGATGTGTGTGCGCGCACTATCCACTAGCTGAAGGCTGCTGCAGAGATAGCTCTCACTTCCCTTTTGACTACTTTTCAATTCAGACATAGTTTTCGATGACTTTTGTATCCAGTTTGGCTATATACCCAATGGTAGGAATTCTATGAACTCAAGCCCGCGGAACGCGATGACCATCGGATCCTCAACAACAGGACAACCACTTTCTCTCCGGAGGGTGTTCTAACCACCCTGTCGTTCCCTCGGCGGTGTGAGGCAGCACGTTTTCTCGCTGGAAGTTCTGCTCGTTGCATTACGTGCTCATTTCCGTGCCAAGAGTACCTCAAGCTTTGTTCAGCGCTTCCATGCATGGGAAAAAATGACCGCGCGTTAGTTGTGCTGAAAAATTCAAAAGAGCTTGTCGCAAGTATGCCATGAATCGATGGCTAGGACCGATACACTTATTTGATAGTCTCAGAACTAAAATGAAAAGAACATGTTGCGCGTTTTTATCATGTAAGGTTGTGTGACACGCTCCTGATTCATTCACTACCCGTCTGTATGTGTTACAAACTTTGCCTTTGCGTTGTAGCTTTGCAAAGTGATGGCCTTCCCATTGGCGTAGTTGGAGGTAGCTGTCACTTGGTGCACTTTAACTGCCACCGTGTTTCATTCGGCGGCGTGGTGATGGATGCAAACGCGGGAAAATGGCTATATATATATATATATATATATATATATATATATATATATATATATATATATATGGTGTTCCGGCTTGCTGGGTCCAAAAGCAGCTTTGTATAAAAAATTTCTTCTTACTCTAGAAAAAAGGATTAGAAACCGTTTTCCAAGGTGTTAAATCCTTTAGCCGAATATGCTGTCTAACCTCTTCAAGCATTCTAAAAGATTTGTTATACTTGAAAAAAGCAGGGTATCTTGGATCAGCGTTCGGCAGATCAAGGCCGCTATTTTATGAATGTTCGGTACGCATTATAAATTGCAGTGTGGGGGGGGGGGGGGCAGTCACGAGGCTGTCCAGCAAAACACCAGCCGTCAGCACCGATGTCCTGCGTCCTGCGCGCACAGGTCCTTCCAACCGAGAGGACTCTGAGTTCGGGCCTCTCCAACTCCGTGACGTTCACCTGCGCCAAAGAGAATGCCGACGCACAGGCAGCCATGGACGACTGGCCTCTGCTGACTGGCAACCCCTGCATTGGTGAGAGATACGAGGGACCACGCTCGCCCGCTACCGGACGGTCAGCCGAGGCTCAGTCGGGTCCAGACGGGATCGTGTTGCCCCGTAAATGTGTTTTCATCTGGACTGGGCGCACAGCCGGACAGGAGCCGGCCGTGCACTGTTCCTTTTACTGCGCTTTTATACGGTTGGCAGCGTGTAAAGGGCCCGGAATGTTCGTGCTCTTGTCCCACGTCGCAAGTGCGCCTCTATTCTGCCGTGTGATGCAACACTGCTTTGGCTGATGTAAGCGTTAATTGGTGACCGCCCGAGTTAACAGGACTCTCGCCGCCCGGCTGGTTGCAGAGCCATGTCCGGATGGTTACACACTGTACCTGGGGACCTACCAGTTCGGGGGCGCCCAGCAGGGTCGGACGACGTGCATCAATTCCAGCCCCAGCTCGGGCGTCAACGGGCTGGTGGCGGCGGCCAAAGCCTGTGGCGACGCCGATGAGCAGCTGCTCGACTTCTTCCTGCCGCGCAGCTCCGTGCCCAGCGCAGACCCGCAGCAGAAGTACATCATGAACGTGCAGACATACCCCGACAGTGGGAGAGTCAGGTGGGCGGCACTGGCGCCCGTCCTGAGGGAGAGCGCTGGAGGCGGTGATCGCGACTGCAGGCGCCGTTCGGCCGCAGAGCACCGCATGGGGGACATCCACCTGGGATGGGGTGGTAGTCGTGCAGCGGGAGAGACGGGGCAGCGCTGACACAGCGTGGGATTAAGGAGATGATGCCGATAGACGTCGAGGTAATGGGCATTGCTCTATTCCCTTTTGACGATTGCATGCGATGTTTACAGTTACTTCAGTGCCAGGATGGAAAAGGTTAAGACAGTAGATGCAGTTAACCCAGGTACGAACTGCCTGCTTGCAAGATACGATGCAGAGGATCAGAACCCGATAGACGAGGCCTCAGCTTGCAACAGAGATGCCGAAGGGAACCTTGCTAATCATCGCTACTTTTGCATGACCAATAGTAAGTACCGTGTATGCACCCTCAGTGAGCAATTTCGTTGCTTTGCTCGCAATAATGGCTGCAATGATACCATGTCAGCTTTGACCTACTTTGCCTGGCGTCTGACCACAAAACTCCAAAACGACGCTCTGTTCTTCCCTTCGCAAGTGTGGCGATGGCTAAAGTCGTCGTTGGACCACGGTTATCAGACATGTGCGGATGTGAAGGGGGGGAAACGCAAATCCATTACAACATTGTTTGAAATATCTCAAAATTGTATAAGTGTGTTTCAGCCATACTCATCTTGAAAACAGAAAATTTGCCTGTGAACTCCATTGCCGAAAGGCGTCTGGCACGAACGGGCGGCCGCAAGTATGCAGCATTTTGCATTGACCACTCGTGACGACTTTGCCTGGAAACAAACATTATAACGTAAAAATCGACTCCTCTGCAACTTCAGGCTCTGGGCGAGGACCTTAGTTGTGCGGAGTGTGCAACAGTAGGAGACGTATCACGGGTAACGGTTCCTCTTTTTTCCGAATGGCTGACAACGGCCACACAATGTAATAGGGACACTGCAGGGCCTGGTATGTGTAGAACAAATAGCAAAGGTTTCCGAACGCGTTTTTGTGACAGACTAGGAAACGCTTCTCAGCCATTTATGCCGGGAGCAGGCGAATACACTGGTTCAGAATCTCAGCCCAACATAGCTTAAAGCCCCCCCCCCCCAAAAAAAAACAGCACAGCCAGCCTGTAGCGATGGACCGCTGGACTGGTGTCTGACAGCTGGCGACGATTGTGCATGCCGGCCATGAAGGTGCATGTGCTCGTCAGCCGGCTGCCCGGACGGAGAGCTCTTCCACAAGGGCTTCTGCATCAAGATGGTGGCGGATGCGACGGCGTCCAACCACGAGGAGGTGTGCGGCGAATTTCGCAGCTCACCCGCCGCGTACACGCCAGAGCTCGGCAACACCGTGGCGCGGCAGCTGTCCGGGTCGTATCCCGACCTACAGCCCATGGTCGGCGTGTACAAGTGAGTCCGGCCCCGGCCGTGGCCGACCCGCCGGGGTCAAGATCTGTATGACAGACTCCGCTTATTGCAAGCTGTACGGCAGACTCCGCGTATTGCAGACTGTGGTGGTCTGGCTTAGTCTAGTCCAATGGCACCACCGGTTTCTGATACCAACAAAGCTTCATGCTGAGTCCCACCTTCAGAATTAAATCCTCCGCCGTAGTACTAACCTTCCCGTAAGCTCTTCTTTGTTGCGAAGTTTCTCCTGACTTTCTGCGTCGAGACCAACCGCGGCGTTCGCGCGTGATCCTAATTTCCGCGACTGAGTCTGAGCCTAGCGCGTTATTGACTGCAGCCGTCCGAGCCCTGTCCTGGTGCTTCACCTTGTCTTTGGCGGGCGTCTGGCTGCAGGCGCGGCGGACAGTTTTGGAGGCCGGGTGGCGTGGCGTTGAACGAGTCGGATTTTGAGGACGGACTGGGCTCGGCGCGGCAGCGGTGCGCGGCCCTGTCCGCCAGCAACCCGGCACTGCTGACGGCTGTCTCCTGCGTAGAGAGCGACATTCAACGCGGCGTCCTCTGCCAGACCCCCGGATACGTCATCGAAGCGACACGTGAGGCAGAGGCCGAGGAAGGAGAGGAGGGAAGGGGCATAGGGTAATGAGGGCAGCGTTAGGGAACGAGGCGGGTCACCTCGGCTGAAAGAGGGGAAGAGAGAAAGGGACAGGGAAAAGAAAATAGAGATAGAGAGAGAATAGAGAGAGAGAGAGAGGAGAGAGAGAGAGAGAGAGAGAGAGAGAGAGAGAGAGAGAGAGAGAGAGAGAGAGAGAGGGAGAGAGAGAGAGAGAGGGAGAGAGAGAGTGGGGGGGGGGGGAGAGAGGGCGGAGGCGGGGTGGGAGCTAGGAACATGAGGGTGAGGGTGGGTCTGAGGTCACCGTCAGGATGCATGGCAAGGGCTGGGTGAAATCGTGGGTCAGAAAGGGGGGCAAGTGAGGATAAGGACGAAAAAAGATAGACAGGAAGTCGAAACGAGTTAAGCAATCAATGCCGGATAATGTCACCGTATGCTGTTTTGGACCTGGTCAGCCAATAAAGCCTCCTGCCGTGCCAGCACATATGCACACGCACACGCTCATGTTTACGCTCGCACACACGCACACGCATATGCATACGCATGCGCACACGCGCACGCACAGGCACACGCATAGGCACACGCACACACACACGCACACGCACATGTACACGCACACGCTTACGTATACGCACACAGGCACACACGAACGCGCGCGTGTGTGTGTGCGTGTGCGTGTGTGTGTGTGTGTGTGTGTGTGTGTGTGTGTGTGTGTGTGTGTGTGTGTGTGTGTGTGTGTGTGTGTGTGTGTGTGTGTGTGTGTGTGTGTGTGTGTGTGTGTGTGTGCCTGTGCGTGTACCTGGGCGTGAATTTGAGCGTAAGCGCGTGTGTGTGCATATGTGCTGGCACACACACACACACACACATACACACACATACACACACACACACACACATACACACATACACACATACACACATACACACATACACACATACACACACACACACACACACACACACACACACACACACACACACACACACACACACACACACACACACACACACACACACACACACACACACACACACACACACACACACACACACACACACCGTCTGCGGCAGTCACGTCGCTCTCGGCTCACGTGCGCCCTGTTTGCAGCCCGCTGCTCTCTGGAGTATGAGCAGCTGGTGGGCGCGGCCGCAGACGGCGCCGTGCCGCCGGCGGTACAGCGCGTGCCGTCGCTGTACAGCAGTCGTATTGAGCCGACCATGCAAGGAGACCAAGTGACGCTGACCTGCCCGGAGGGCTTCAGTCTGCACACCCCCGAAGGGTCACACTCGATGGTGTACACCTGCACCGGACTGAAGCGCGAGTGGGTGCCGGAGGTCGACTTGCCGGAGGGAGTCAGCGAGGTCGCGCCGGCTCTATGCGTGCTCGGTGGGTGCCATGGGGGTGGCGAGTCCGATTCGTGGCGTCTTGGATCCGCGTCCGGCTGCTAAATTCACCGTTTTTGAGGGACGTGAGTTTAGGTATAAGTCTTGAATCTCGCGACTTTGAATCTGAGTCACAGTGTTGCTGCATGTGAACCCCAGTCCGCGCCAGTCAGAATCCTAGGAACTCCATTAGTCTCAGTCCAAGTTCGTGTTTGCGTTTCCTAGTGCCTTATGGGATCGCACAGACTGCGAAATGTCCAGGGCCAATGCTATCAGGAACACAAGCGTTATCTTATATGATGTATGTGTTTGTCCATGCACCTACTTAGATAGTGAGTATTTAATATAAAAACTGAGACACGTAAATGCAGAGAATGTTCCGAATGTATGCTGAAACCGTTATAAGACATGTATGGCAAATACGCCGAATATAGCAGGCTACGCCCGGGGATAGAATAGGCTATGGTCTCTCATATCAGAGACCAGGCTATGTGTAATGGTCCATACCCTATTCTCGTTGTCCATAATACGTCAAGCTTTGTGATGATAGACTGTACTAGGCTTGAACATCACAGACTAAATTATCAACTGCTTTGGCTGCCCCGTAACGAGCGCCAAACGAGCACAGTCTTTGCGCTCCTTTCCCCAGTGCAAGCTCCCTGACCACGCCCCTAACCTGGTGCTTAAGCGGCACCAAGGCCGGATCCAAAGGGATCGGGTCCATGACCCCTTCCAATGTGGCTCTAAGCACTCGAGATTGTACCACGTTTGCCTGGGTCTAATTAACTTGGCACCAAACGAGCTTCACACCCACACGAGCCAAGCCTGTGCTAAGATCCGGTGGTGAGCCCGCCCCTGAACCCCTGAGCCCCTGAGCCCCTGAGCGGCAGCGTGTCTCGTCTCTCAGCATGCCGCCTGCCGGACGCCACGCAGAAGCCCGCCAGCAGTGAGATGGAGCAGAGCGGCATCCGGCTGACGCACACGTGCAACGCGCAGCTGTTGACGGCCGACGGCAAGCAGGTGCAGGAGCAGGTGTGCGACCACACCACCAGCCAGTGGAGCCCGCCCGCCGACCAGCTGAAGGACTGTGACCGTAAGTGGTCTGCCCTCGGTAGGGGCAGTGGTCTGCCCTCGGTAGGGGCGCAGTCCGTGTACTCACGCGGCCGGATCGGAACCCACCGAAACTGCGCGATTTACGGGAGCGATAGAACTATGAAATATGTTTGCAGTGGCTGTCGTGGCGACCATCACGTAAACAGCAGGCTGGGCCGGAAGCGTGCGGAACAGCGGGCACGTGGTTCCCGAAGCGCCTCACCTCCCTCGCTGTTCGTTACAGATTGTACGGGGTCGCCGGTGGTGCCTAACGCGGAGAACACATTCACGAGCAACTGGGAGACGGATCTAAACTCGTCCAAAGCACTGAACACCACCGTCACGTACACCTGCAACGGCATCTTGACGACGGCAAACGGCAGCACGGAGCAGTGGCAGTCGTGCACCGCGCGTGGATGGGTGAGGAGGGCCACGGGTCACGTGACAGCGCAGACAAGGCTAGGTCGAGGGTTGTCTGACGGCCCACGGAGCTGTCATGTGACGGTGCGTGAAGCTGGGCCACGGGTCACGTGACGCCAGATGGAGTTGACTATGTGAAGACGGGCAGAGTTGTCACGATGCATGTGATGGCAGGTGGAGTTAGGTCACGGTTCACAG